CCACTCTTCTCAACACTGGTTAGGTCTGAGATGAAACAGTGTATTCAGTTCTAGGTTCTGCATTTTAGGAAGGATGTAAACGTGGGAAGATCCAGGATTTTGTGAGTGAGGGCATGGAAACAGCTACCGGCACTGCATCCTTCTCTCCCCACACTGGGTCAAGCAGACCACAGTGCAGTAGCAGCAAGCAGAAAGCTTTTAAAGTCCCCAGATCAGGTAAGACTCCTGCACAGGGTGGGGTGCACATCTTGGCATCCACTCCCTTCCCCTCCATGTTCAGTGGCATGTCCCTTCCCCTTCCTTCCTACCCTGCCCACCACTGTTGCCGTCTCTGCTGTCCTTAACTGATCTGGAAGCAGGGTGTAGGGGTCCAGAGCCACTCCTGAAATTGGTGGACTGTGTGGGGACCTGGGCTTAGCCAGGGACAGTGGCAGTGGTGATGAGCAGGTTCCCCCTCACTGTGCTTGTGGTCAAGCTGGCAGGAAACACCTAGAGGGACTGGGCAGGAAGGAGTAATCTTCCCATTTCCCACACTGCCGCACTCTTCTGTTGAGTGTGGCTATCTGTGCAGCATTGCTGGAGCAGGGCAGGAGTGGCTTTGGAGTTTTCCCCACCCCCAGTTCAGCTTGGGGCAGTAACAGCAGCAAGGCAGAAAGGGACAGATGGAAGGCAAGGGGATCTGTCACTGAGCACAGAGGGGAAGTGCAATGGGTGGGGGGAAATTACCTGCTTCAGGGACTTAAAAAAAAAAAAGTGTGTGGCTGCTGCTCCCACAGCATAGTCCAAAAGAGTGGGTGCAACTGCACTACCACATCCCCTCTGGATCCACCCATGTAAAAAACTGGAAAAGATCCAGAGGTGATTGACAAAGATGGTAAAAGGAATAAAATGCAAACTATGTTAGAACTCGATATGTTTAGTTTGACTAAAAGAGACCAAGCTGGGGGATGTGGTAACAGCAGTTTTCAAATATTTGAAAGGCTGACATAAAGATAGAAAACAACTGTTCTCCTTCACTGCAGAGGGTAGGACATGGAACAGTGGCTTTAAACTGTAGAAAATGAGGTTCAGATCTCAGAAAAAACTTCCTTAAATCTCAGAATCCCTTACTATCACACCAGTAGGATAACAGAACAAGCTGCCAGAGGAAGTTGTGGAATCTCTTTCATGGGAAGCTTTCAAGAGACTGGACAAGCACTGGGCAAGTATGGTTTAGGAACACCATTTTTTGCAGGGGGTTGAATTAGATAACCCTTGGGATTCTTTCTAATTCTATGAGTGTAGGATTCATTTCTGATATTTAACTTTGGGGAGTGTTGTTTAGATAATTTTCAGGTTTTGTCATGTTGGAAAGTCTTACCCAAAGCAGTGGAAAATTTAATTCAACTTGCAACTGCCCCCTCTTCCCTGCTTCTTTTACTTTCCAGAGACTGGGGTTGTACTTGTCTGGGGAAAGTGTGAGCTGCTGTAGTCCTTCCATTCCAGACCAGGACTGGGGCAAAGTTCCCTGCCTGCTCCTCACGCCAAGGATTTATAGCACCACTCCCTCAGCTCAGTTCTCAGTGCCTAGGAGCTGAGTAGACAAAGCAGCCTGGCAAAACCTCCTGCCTCTCTCTTACTCTAGGGATTTCAGTGTGTGAGATGTGGGCAGGGAACAGCTAGCAGCTGCTTCAGCCATCCCTGTCTATGGGAGGGGTGGGAACAGCTGCCCCCTGGCTCCTTCTCCACATCAGGGTGACCCTGGTTTGTGGAAGGCAGGGAGTTAAACCGTGAGGAAGTTTGCAGACACTCATTCTACTGGAAGAAACTCTCCTGGAGGCCACTTCTACCTAGTTAAAGCTGGATTATTTTTTTCTGGGAACAGCCACTTTTGCTCTGGGACAATAAGCTGGAAGGTCTATACACTTGCGATTTCTACCAGCAGATAAGTAATTCTCTTGGTAGAAACTGAATGTCTGTACATGGGCAAAGTAATGAATCTTTTATTTTCTTCTAAAGGTCATAAGATCTAGGGTCAGGCTGATTTCTGATAGAAGAGAACTCCATGTCACAAAGACCAGTTTCTCTTTCTTTCACTCACTCTTTTTCTCTGACAGAGAGGCTCTTAACACTTATGTACTGTCAGCTTTAAAATATGGAGCAAAAGGGTGGGTACATCTAATATAGTGGAGCTGAAACTAAAACCTGGACAATGAAGCATGAAATGAAGTATACTTGGTACTGCAGAGAAACAGAATTAACAAATCAGTAAAAGAGAAAGGGTAAAGTAATGAACATCTTTATGAATAAAGAAACTAAAGTGACAATAGGATGGGCTATGTTAGAAGATGGAATTAAAAGCTGGAATACATTTCCAAAGAAATGGAGAGAAGAGTTAGCTATGCAAGTGCAATCATCAAAGAAGACTTAAGGCTATAGTGAGTGAGATCTCTCTCACCCTGTAAAGTGTTTCAAGTGGGATACATGATTAGAATGCCTGAAAAAATAAAGCATTTTGGAGTTGTAGGAATATAGAATATTCTAAAATGATTAAAATTTAAATGCATTATCCTGTACTATGGATTGCTAGTTTAGTATATTTGTAACTTTTGAAGGAGAATTGCTGTTTTGTTTCCAATGACAAGCTTTTCTTAAAGAGGAACTATAACAACAACAGGAACATAAGTAGATTCTATAACCTTGTAATCACACATGTCATACACAATGTACTATTTTCCCCCCTTAAAATAGAAATGGTGGGAAATAATATATAGTAGGCACAGCAAATTATGTTTTCTCTGACAGAAGTTAATTCTAAACTAAGTATTCCCTGAAAGAGAAACAGAGAAAACATTTTTACATGTCTATCATTTGTCCTTAGAGGACACAAAATAAATATGTTTTTTAAAGCTTGACACTGGTATTATTCTATGTGGCCTCCGGCTATATGCTTTTTTTCCGGTTTGTACAATTGAAAGGATAAGAAAACAGCTTTGCATTAAGAGGAACACAGTGTACAGGTTAATCATAACCATGCAGAAATAAAAATGCTGCCAACAAAATAATGGTGCAGCAGTGCCAAGGGAGCCCCAAGGATGATGGTGAGGAAAGCAGTGGGATAACAGCATTTATTTTGCTTGTGGTAAAGTATTTCAGGCATGTGCTTCTCAATTAATAATTGATGTGGCTGAAACAGAAGTTTTTACTATTGTTGACAATAACAGATACTCGTAAAAATTTAATTGGTTGAAAGTTAATTTCAGTGTTTCTTGATCATGAAGTGCATTAATTAAGGAAAGAAGAGATTTTTTTGGAAGAGGTTTAAATTTTAAAAGGAAGTAAATCAGAAAGGCAGAATCATGCAGGGGAATTTAACAAATGTAAAAACATCTACAGAAGTGAAAGTCATTACTTTATCAATATTTTATCAATTAACTAACTTAAATGTAATCCCTCTTGGGATCCATGTAGCATGCCATTATTTTCTAGCAAGTCTGATCCTTCTCGAAAAGAAGCATTATTTTGCAAATAAGAAACACTATAAAAGGTTGGGAGAATCTTGTAATGGATTGCTTGTTAAGTCATAGAAAAAGTTGAGGAAAGCAAATGTGAACAAGTTCATTGTTAAGAGCTACAGTATAACAGACTGAAGTTTAGTACAATTGTACACATAGCTTTTTATGAAATATGGATGGAGAGGTTTTTATCTTAGTTCAGTGGCAAAGTAGAGCCACATCTGAGAAACACTTAGAGAAAACAAGGCACACATTGGTGGCTAAATATTGAAATGTCAACTTTTCTTCACATCGTTTTCTTGAGCTCTACTGAGCATACATTGATACCTTTGGTTTTGACTGCATTATCTCTAAACCTGTTAAGTTTATTGGAAAGCATAAGTCCTGCTGGAACAATATAAATTATAACTCTGTAGTTTCATCATTGGAGTGAAGCCTCACCTTCAGTCTTTGACTTGCCACTAATGCCAAATGGATCTGGACATTACAAATGCTTTGCAGAGGCTCCAAGTGGGGAGCAAGAAAGCCAAATTCCTTATACAGGAGGGTGTGGAATGAAGTTCTCTTAGAGGCTACTATGGAAATTACTTCATTAGCTGCTCACATATGTGGTGGGACGGGGGGAGCGGGGGCAAAGTTCTCACAACACCAGTTGGTTCATCACCATGTTCACAGAGGCAGCTTGCTTGTTTTCCAGCTAGATCTATGGAAGTTAAAGACCCAAGTAAGCAGTCATGCTGGGAATCCTTTCTGCTGGCAAACTGTGCAGTGATGTCAGGTATGTTTTCATAGCTTGTTTTTCAATCTGTAGCATTCCCAGGTTAGAAACATGAGCATCTGTCATCGTAGTCCTCAGGTACGTTTTCAGCTGCTGCAGTGAAGAAAAGCTTCTCTCTGCTGATGCTGTAGTAACTGGGATAGTTAAGTAAAGTATGAAGAGGTTTCCCATATTTGGAAGGATATCACGCAGTGACATTTCCTGAAATAACTTCACTCTTCTTTCAGGCTGGAGGCACTCCACTTCACTACTCATGCCAGCACTGCCATGAATTTCAAACAGTCTGGAAAACACATTGATTTCAGACCTCAGATCCTCTTGAGCAATCCTGTAAGTTTTGAAAACAGTGCCTATGCTTTCCTGTGATGGGGTCCCAGAAGAGAGAACATCTTCCAGGGACTTGAAAATGTTTAGGTCATTCTCAGCAAAGCAGTCTTCAATGTCACTAATAAGGGTGTCCAAAGTTCTGTATAGTATTTCTGTCCTGTAATACTCCTCTGGTTTCTCAAAGGAGGACTTTTCCCCTCCTCCCAGTTTTCAAAGAATAACCCTTTTACAAGGGATGCAAGGTCCAGGATACCCATTTTTCTGGCACAGTTCATTAGCATTGTTGAATACTTGGGATGCAAACTCCTCACTTCTGAGTCCTTGCAGTATAGACACTGTGGACTTAGCCATCACTGTTGCTCTATGAAATGTAAAGTCTTTTGATTTAATAAGTTTTGATAAGTTTGCATAAGCACTCTCCTCATAAGCAGCATGCAGTACAGGAAGTTGAAGTCTTGCAGGTGTCGGAGAAGTACACAAGCTTCAACTCTAGCTTTTGAACCCCCATGTTCGATTTCATCCAGAGCTTCAACTATCTCATCAAAATTTTCTAAAAGAGCTTTGGTAGCCTTGACTTGACAGTTCCATCAAGGGTCACTGAATGGTTTAAGAGTTACTGGTCCACCAGAAAAAGAAGCAGTTTCTGATTGTCTTCCTTCTGATACAATTTTTCCAAAGATAGCACTTTCATTGCACTTCCTTCAATGAAAGTTTGTAGTTCATGGAGAAGTGTGAAGGCATTCTGGACAGAGGGAGTGCAAGAAACCACATCCACTATGCACAGATTTAATATATGAGCGTAGCAGTGAATGTAATAAGCTAAAGGATTCTCACTAAGTATCCATGCAGCCATACCTTTATAGGGTCCTCTCATGCTTGCAGCTCCATCATAGCACTGACTTCTTAGAGCCAAAATATCAAGTCTCGGATCTGACAAAGTAGTCTTGATCAGTGAGGCAAGTGAAGCACCAGCTGTCTGCAGTGTCCTATAGAAGCCAATACGTTGTTCTGGTATTTCGAAGGACTGGTTTACATATCGCAGTATGAGAGCGACTTGTTCATGCCTGGAGAGATCCATTGTTTCATCTGCAATTATGGCAAACACTCCAGCTTACTTTACTTCCTTTACTATTGAATTCTGGACTTGTGAAGCCATAATCTCAAGTATTTCATTTTGACAGGAGCTGTGTAGGTAGGTGAAGAACTTCTCTAGGTTAATCATAAGCCGCTGAATCACTTTGTTGTCTTCACTATGCAGTTTTGTCAATTCCTGCAAGTTTCCTTGATTTGTGGAATCAGCTCGCTCATGTTCCCTCAAAGGTATGCCTTGGCAAGCACAAAACAACACAGTCTGTATTACAGTTTGTAAGCATCCTTGGTTTTTGTCCAGTTTTTTTCCTGCGACTGTCAAGTTGTGATGCTCGGCAGCAGAAACAGAAAACTGTGTCCTGACAGACACTGTATTCAAGCCATTTGTGATCACTGTACCATTCTTTTCTGAATTTTCTTATTTTATTGGCAGATGGAGTGCCTGGAAACACAATTATGGGCTGATATGGCCCTTTCTTAAGATATTTCAAAGCTGCATCTGACCCAAAGCAAGGGTCTCTGCTACAGGAAGCCGTACTAATGTCTGTATGAGTGCTTGTGCATGATGTGGCATCCTAATCTGGAGTGTCACACTCACTGTGGCTGCTTCCGGTACCATAATTCAGAACTGTGCTGCTTGTGTTGGGGGCAGGACTCTTAGAGGAGGCTGAAGTCTTGGCCTTTGCGCAGAAAAAGTCCAAACTCAACTGTCTCTTTGCCATTCTGCAAAGCTAAAGAAAAGGTACATTATTAGTACCTGACAATAGTAAAACATGGACTTAGGGTGTGTGAGAAGGGACCTGAGCTACCCTCTGATTTTATGTTCTCTTGGCAGAACAAGCACAAGAGGCAACAGAATGCACAGTTGCAAGCAGCCTTTGGTTTTAGTTGCTTCGAATGGTTAAATGAGATATAGACTTATCCCTTTTCAATCAAACACAAAGCATAAGAGAACTGGACTTCAGAATCCAAATAGTGTAAAAGTGAACATTCCCAGGGAGTGCTCAAATTGCTTTTTCTGTTCTCCATGTTCCGTGAGCTCCCCACTTACAAGCTGAACGCTCAGTGGTTTCCTTTTTGTCTTAATACCCACTCCAGAAGAATCAGCACATCTCAAACTTTTCCACTTTAGAACCACTCAAAAAACCTCAAGTGGAGCTGGGGTCACTCTGCCTGAATTCTTGGGCAAGTTTTGCCACTGCGGCAAAAAACTGCTTCAGGGTCAGACTGAGTTGGGGTGCATCAACATGTCCCCCAGTACTTTTGGGGGCTAATCTCAGGAGGGGCATGTGCCCCCCCACCCCCGTGACCCCCCCGAGCAGTTGCCTGTGTCTGGGATGCAGCATAATTTGATGTAATTTTATCACCAGATATTTTCTTTATATATGCTTCACCTTAAAGGGGCAGAGTAGGGTATTAAAAAGCTATCCAATTTAGTATTTTCCTAATGACTTCTCATTTCATTGAAAAAATGAAATTCATTATCAGTTGGCAAATGCCAGCACTTCAACATCTGCAGATTTAAATGGCAATTATTCATGAAAAAAGTGCCTGAAGTAAAAAGTATGTAGAGTACTTGAGAACTTTTTTCCACATTGTGTTACAAATCACAGAATCGGAAAAAGTCACAAGTTTCTAATGCTACATTAATGCAACCTAATGATTAAAATGCTGATTTAGCAATTGTTGTAAAGTATTCTTACATTTTACACAGAACTTTAAAACTATTTTGCCAGTCCAAATTAAATAATAATAATAAACGGGTAAACTGTCAAAAGCATAGAAGTCACTTAGGAATCTAAGTGCCATAGATGTCCCCCTCTCATCTGCCCCCCCCGTATTTAACATGCATGCACATACTTATTTTCAGAAGAGGTAGGTTGGAACTGAAGATGCAACAAACTCAAAGAGAATGGAAGAAACCCCTTTATTTTTGTCAGCGTATTATTGGCTAAAGCATTCAAGATAGCAGATTAAGAGACTATCAATAATACTACTATAGTTAATAGAAATATTAATTCCTGAAAATAATCTTATTGTAATAGGGATTAATATTAGGAATACTATCAGGAGTTTTTGAAATAATATCAGGAGTTATTGGAGTTTTTATGAGCAATTTCTTCTTTTTTATATGTGAAAAAATGACAACAGTCTCATATAAAACCACTGGTGAGCATGTTAAGACAAGACAAGTTCCTGTTTAACTGAAGTTGGATTACTGATTAATAGAAAAGTCTTTTGAAGTAGCTTATGCGTACACATGATCAGGATTTGGCATGAAAAGGCTGCTTCACGGGTTAATGTATTCACCTATAAATAAAACCAGTGACAGCTCTCCTGTCACTACACGCTGATGGACGGTTCCTTTTTCCGCCATTACAGCCTTGTGAATGTGGGAAAATTAATTTAAGTGGTAGTTAATTTCTAATGAATTCCATTCAAGCGGTTAATATGGTCCCTTGATGTTATGGTAACCTTCATGGATCATTGCATTATGTAAATAAATTCTACTTTATGCTGGTTTATTAAAAAAAAAGAAAAGAAGATTGGTGAGTCTGGTAAAATCTTTCATATGCGCGCGCCCGCGCACACACACACACACACACACACACACACAGAAACATTGTTAAGGAATCACTCAAAATGGGTAGTTTAATTCAAGCAAACAAAATTTCCAAAAAAAAATGTATGCAAAGCAAATGTTTTACATGCAGTAGGCAATTCATCTTGGTGTGATTAGGCTAGAATCTTTTATTTGGATTAAACCATGGATCCCAACAGTCTCTATAAATGGGCACTAAGAGGGATACTGCTGAAGGAAGTCCTCTACCCAGATTTAGTTCATTAATACAGCTGAAGCGCAAATGCAACAAAGACAAAACAAGAAAGGACTGCAAGCTAAGTGATCAAGCCTGAATCACCACCAGCCATGCATTTGAACTCCTCCCTGATGTACCGTAGCCTGGAAGTCAAAGAGAGCATAAGGCTGCTTCTCTAAACTATATCTTTGTCCCTTTTTCTGTTCCCTTGCTCCTTTTTCTGTTTCATGCCAATGATCAAATCAGCAAACAGCCCCACATTTTTTCTCAGCTAGTATAGTCAGTGGAAGAACCTCTATCTCCTGCTGTCAGCATCTTCAAATCAAATGTGGGTGTCTTCCTGGAAGATGTGCTTTAGTTAAACACAAATTGCTGGGCTTGATAAAAGGGTAACTAGCACTGATCTACAGCTTGTGACACACAGGAGTTCAGACAAGATGAGCAAATGACCCTTATTTCCACAGCAGGGGGTGCACTTTCTGAGATTACATCAACTGACCTCTCATTCTGCTGCCAATACATGGTGCTATCAGGATGAGCAGAATGCCATACTACACATCTTTGCCTGCAACATCAGCCTCCTAGTAATTTTGTGTATGGAGGTGGGGAATTCTAGAGCCTGGCACTGAATTGCATCATAGCTCTGGTACTCTCCCCCTCATTTCTCTTCTTTGAAAGATATTTTTTCATTTTATAATGTATAGTACGCGATTACTTCTGAATATTCAAATTGTGGTTGCTCATTCTGGAGGACATTACCTCTTCTACTAAGTACTTCATGTTTGGTGTGGGGACAAGTGCTATCGGTGTCTTTCCCATCAGCTTGTGGACAGCCTTCCAATTGCTTACAAAGCACCTTGTCACAGTTGATGCACACTTCAAATATCCACAAAACATTTGCTCAAGGACACCTGGCTCCTAAGGGCATCATCTAACCATGACCTTTCCCTTGTGGTTCATGGCATCTGCTGCAGTCCAGCACTGTCATCACTAGGAAAAAGTCCTCTCTGAGCTATGCAGATGATCACATTCATCAGTAGTCCTGGACTCCATTCATGCCAAGATATTTCTTCCAAATGAAAGTTTGTTGGGGGGGGGTTAAGCAAAGTATTGGACCCCTGACAACCCTCAGGGAGCAACTAGTACAAAGTGCACCGTTTTTCTTAAGGCTCCTGGGTCTAGTGGCTTAAACCAATGAGTAGGGAAGCTTCTGAGGCTGGATCAACCTTGCTGAGGTCCATGGCAGGCTGGTGCTCCCAACCTGAGCTGCTGTTGCCACTGTTGCTTCTCCCCACCACCAGAGCATGGCATAGGCAAGGCCCACCCCCCAGCTGCCATGTGGCTTGGCCAAGGACCACTGGGTCCAATGGCTGGTTCTACAGACTGGTTCCAAAGGTTTCACAGGACATATGCTGATGAATCCTGGCCTAAACAATGTATTGCCTCAATAGGAGGCAACCTTTGCCACCTTCTTGCAGGGAGGGGGTTAATTCTCCTGGCCCTGTCACTTCTGCGGATAGTGGGGAGCTACGCTCAACAACCATGACTGCAGTCATGACTTGCAGTGGCTACCAAAGACAGTCCCTCCATCACTAGCAAGGAGAACAACTATCCCTCCAAGCAGGTGGCCAGAGGTGGTGTGGGAAGGTTGTTGACCAGGAATGGGAGATAAGGAAAAACTTCCAGACGATTCATGTGACCAGACCCTGAAATAGACTGCCAGCAGGGGGTGGTGCAGGCGCCTACCCTGGAGATCTTCACACCTTGCTGGTGTTATTTGATCCCAGCAGCCTTTCCTGCCCAGAACAGGGAGGGGCTGGACCCGATGATTTCATGAGGTCCCTTCTAGCCCTAAACTTCTGTGAATTTGTTTTCGTGAATACATCACTTTCGCAATATTGAATGGTGGGTCATCATCTCGCACCCTTCCTGAGAGCTCCAGCAACTTCGTGGGCTAGATAACAGACCAGGGGTAGGCCACGTTTTTGGCCAGAGTGCCAAAAACACCCACAACCTTGACTTGTAAGATTTTGGCATGCCAGGGCCAAATGGCGGGGGAACTGTGAAGGGCCTGATCCTTTTTGTGGCAGCACAGCCCTGGCCCCTTCCCCATCATTCACCTCAAGGCACGCATGCACCTGCTGCCAGCAATGAGCCCGGCTGGGACTCTGCGGACCCCAGTACTGCTAATTGCAGCCTCTTGGCTGCTTGCCATAGCCGGCCTGGAGCCTCGGCCTGGCTCGTTGCCAGCATTGGCTGCACATGAGCCTTGATGTGAACGGTGGGGAAAGGGCCGGGGCTGCACTACCACATCAAGGATTGGGTCCCTCACGGTTTCCCTATCTTCCACCCCAAGGCATGCATGCCAAGCAAAATGCCTTTGTGTGCCTGCTCTAGCATGCATGCTGAGGGTTGTTTACTCCCAATATAGACTATGTCCTCAAGGGGGTGCCTCTGCTTCTCACCCCTACCATTATCATCCCCCGGTCCCCCTGGGATTTTTTGACAATAATGGTGATAAGCTGCTTTCTGGACCTTAAGGCTAAAAGTTAAGTCTAGGTGCAGACAGAAGTGACAATCTTCACCTGATCTGGACCCTGAAAGCGCTCTACAGCTTCGGGCAAACAGAAGTACATGGCTGCAGAATGCTTTAAAAGTACCTGATCCCATGAAAATCTGAACCATCATTCCATGAGGGTTTAAAGACATTAAAATGGAGTGGCTTCAGTAACTTGTGTCTGCTCTCAGGGCTGTGCTGACAGCAGCTCAGCCCTGCTGTGGTGCTGTCTTCAGAATGGGAGCAGGGAAAGGGAACAGGGTGTGATTGTGCAGGGTCTCTGAATACATAGCTTGTAGACCACATAGAAGTCCAGACTCTGTACAGCTTCAGTGGAGCTCAGAGCCATGGCACTGGACTTTCAAAGCTATGTGCCCATCCCTGCAACACTGTCACAGACCACCTGCAGTTGCGCATTATATCAGCAGTGGAGAGGAGCACAGCCACCAAGCCAGCAAGCATTCCATGCTGATATTGTAGGCACAAGGGTAGATCCAGAGGGAATGCTGTGGTGCAGTCACTCCCCACTTTCAGACCATGCTGTCAGAGCAGCAGGCAGGGACCTTTCTTTAGCTCCTGAAGCAGATAAGAATCCCCCTCCCCCTTCCCCTATGTGCTCAACAGCACGTTCTCTCTCCTTCCATTATCCCCCTCCTCTGCCTCTGCACCATTGTCCCTGCTGTCTCCAGCTGCTCCAGGAGTGGAGAGAGCTCCAGAGCCCCTCCTGCTGTGTCCCAGTCAGGCTGCATGGGGAGCTGGGCCCAGCCAGTGCCTGGCAGCGAGTTCCTTCTTCCTGCCTTGTCCCCCAGGTATTCCTTGCCA